AATGGAAACTGCTCTAAAACTAAAGGAAAGGAGGGAAGATGGACCATTAATCTCTGTGAGATTATAGAAATCCTGGGATACGAAAGAGAGTTCTGGGACCAGGCTGAAACAAAACTGAGCTGACAATACATCAGCGTGAGATCCTTACAGAGCCTTCTCAGATGTAAGTGGCTAGTTTCTCCCATGGGTCCAGAAAATGCATAGATTTTGGGGAAGAGCATTTTAAACATAGACATGCTGGAAGGTAGTAAGTAGAGGTTAAATTATTTCAGAAGTTGGGGTAGTGGCACAGGTAGTATTTTTTTTTCTTTTTGAGTTATTTGAGTTTTTTGTGCAATGCATTTTGATCATATTCACTCTTCCCCTGACTCCCAGGTCTATCCATCTTCCCTCCCTAGCTGACTTTGTATCCTCTTTTATTTTCCCACACATCAAGTCCAATCTGTGCTCCCCCTTGAGTCTTGGATGTTTGGCCATCCACTGGAGTGTGGTGGGCTTACCAAGGCCTAAGCTCATAAAGGAAACAAATTCTCCCCCAGCGGCTTTCAGCTGCCAAGAGCTCCTAGGTTTGGGGTGGGATTCCGTCAGGCTGGAGATTAGGCAAGTCTTGTGTATGCTGCTGTAAATGCTATGAATTCATAAGCACAACTGTCCTGTTTTGTCCGGAAGACACTGTTTCTTTGTAATCATCAAATGCCTCTGGCTATTACATTCTTTCTACCCACTATTCCTCTAAGATTCCAGAGGCTTGGGAGGAAGGGATGTGATATACATACCCTATTTAAGGCTGAGCATCCCACACTCTCTTACTCTCTGCAACTTGACACTTGTTAACTATCTGTGTTAATCACTACTTAATGCAAATGGAAACTTCCCTGGCACTAAAGGAGAATCTATTACTTTATTAAATGGATGTAGAGTTACACTAACTCCTAGTGACTTATTGTTATGCCCATTGATTAATGCAGTATTCAGCCCTCATCAGGGTAATTTCTATTAGGTTTGATCTTAACGTGGAGAGTGTGATAAATGATCTTTTAAGTCAAAGAGGAAATAAATATGAAAGATAAAGGCTACTTCAAGACTACAGATCAGACAGCACACATGATCTTTTAAGATGGGTCAAAGTCATATATAGAAAATAATTTGATGAAAATTCTTTAATTTTTTAGGAGAAGAAAGATTGAAAATAGATCAGTGAACATGTTTGTTGCTTACTGGTTTCAGGGAGGATTGAATTAAGGATTCTGCAGTTGAGTCAGAGCTGAACAAGGAGCATGGCTGTTGATGAGTACTGACATCAGGATTCAGTGGGTTGTTTAGATGAGCTGTATCAAGCCATTAAGGGTCAAATAATTCCCACATTGCTGCAAAGCACAGAGTGGTATTCTCAATGACTGTTTGAAATCAACAGTCTGAAAAAGACAGTACCCAAAAGTAGACCAAAGGCCAATTCCAATGATAAAGCTGTGGAGATGTTGAAATTCTTTCAAATGGGTTCCAGCAGAAAATGTTGTAAAGTGAGTAGAAATATTTTCATAGTGGGATATAAAATTCTTATCTTCTATTGGTGTTAAAGGAGCTCTTTTTAGCTTCTGAAAGGAAGCAATGAAAGATACTGTGCTATAATTTACAGATAAGGCGGTTGATATAGTCACCTGGCTTTTTCCTTAGTAGTGCCCGTAGCTGTGGGATGGAATGTGTGGATGCGACACTACTGTTCACCTGTCCCCACACAGAGTATGAGGAATGAGTCTGAGCCAGGTGAACACTAAGACAGAATCCTCAGTACCTCTCCCCCCCACTCACTTCTGCTTCTTAATGTCTTGAATTGGTCACCTGTATGGCTGTCCTATTTTACGTTGCTCTCATGAAATAAGAGCTGTAATTATTCACCTTTTCCACAAAACAGTTGCCAAGAAAATACTTGGTGGATGAGTCTAATCAAAGAAGCTGTGTTACAGTGAGAAGTTCACTGGCTTTGGAGACAGGGATTTGGTTTCAAGGCCAGGCTACTAATGATTAACCACCTCTGTCTAGGCACTTCCTCCCTATTCAGCTAAGACTTCCCCTTGGGAGCCTCCCAGACACCCACACTATCCAGTGTTCACAATGAGCTCATTGTGCTGTGTTTTCCCACAAGCCCATGCTTCCCTCTTGGGCAGGTGTCACTTTGCTGTTTCCTCTGTGAGCCCATGGGGACTTTCAGTGCAGACTCCTTTCTGTCAGAGACCAGCTCAGTCAGGCTCATGTGGGTGCTAAGGGAGTTTGTGACAAAAATGAATGGCTTAACATACTTGAGAATGGGAAGATGGTTTTGGGGTTTCCAAGAATGTTCTTTAGAGAACAAGCTGCCTTTCCCCACCTCAATACAAATTCCAATAGCCACTCTCCACTTCAATACTAGTCTAAATAGGCCTTGTTACCAAGCAACAGTCACATTCTCTCCATTCCTTAGCCAGTGCTTGTCATATCAACCAATGTCAAAAAATACCCAAGAATATCCACTTCAAAGGGGGAGAGGTTTATTATCCCTTACTGTATGGGGGAACAGAAAGACAAGGTGATTTGTCTCATGGCAGCTGGGCATCAGTAAAGGAGAGAAGGAACTGAGGTCTCTGTTTCTTCAAGGGCACATCTCCAGTGACCTAACTCCCTGTGGCTCGGTTCCATCTCTTAATGGTTCCACTACCTCCCAACAGAGTCAAAGGCTGGCAGCCTTCCAGCTTCAACACGTGGTCTTCGGGGGATCACTTAAACTCTAAATCATAGCAGGACTTTAAGATAGGAGCCACTGTCTGCATTTTACAGCTGCTTGGAGAAGGCCCTAAATCCTAGTTACTTAATCCACTGCAGATCTGGGATTCGATCTCCGAATGTGTAATTTTTGGGTTGTCATCAAGAGATTTTCTCAGGACACTGTGCAATTATGCTCTCTGAAAGACTGACCTGAAAAGTTAAGCTATAAGGTTCTTCTTAGCTATCAGGCTCATTCCTAGGTAGGTGAGGTTGACTAGTGGGCAGGACAGCAGTCTTCTGGAGACAGGAATAGCTATTAAGGGCTTTAAGAAAGAAATTCCTGGAGCGGATAAAAACTACTAGCCATCATGGTCCTGATCTGACTTTTTAAAAATACCCTTTGTGTCTAACATAACCTTTATATATGATGTATAATAGGATTACTGTACCTAAAATTAAAACAATCAAGTACATAGTTTTATCAAAGGTAACAGATAAAGGAGCATATGGCTCCTTTACATACCTGTGATGCTTCACCAACAGGGAGAACTATGAACTTGAACTCCTGGAAAGAATCTGTGTCTACAGAGACTGATTGACTGATAAAACTGCAGTGAGGTGGTGAGGTTGGAATGTTGCAGGTCCAGAGGCCAATTACCTTATCTTGGGCTACTGTTAGCCCCATGAGTAGTTCCCAGCTATTCCTTGCCCACCTCTGTGTCATAACTAACTTCCTGTGACTAATGGATTAAAATCTTTTGAAATCTATGAACTTAGGAGACCACTAGATCCACCAATCCCAAAGCCAAGAATGTCATCAGATAACATCTGGGGCCCATAGAAAAGCTTCCCTTGTATGCTCTAATCACCTCTTTGATATACCCACCAGTGTATTTTAAACTTGCCTTGATTTATGACTTTGTTCTGTAAAAGTTCATGAAGCTGCCTTAGAACATGGAATTTGGGATAACCTAAATCTGTGTTCCTGGGCCATGGTCATACAATTTTGGCTCCACAATAAACTATCTCTTATTCCCTTAAGAAAAAAAAAATTAAGCTAGTGAGAGCCAGCATCAAATACACTGTTTGATGCTGAATCTGTATTTTCTCAATAAAACACTGAAGTAGCTATTTATGAAAAGCCTACAGACAATATTAGTAATTCATGAACGAAACTTAGAGGCTTTTTCAAAGAATAAAACTATTAGTAACTATGTTTGTATATATAGAACTGTACAGATGTCTGTAGGAAGCCCATGGAATACTTTTCCTCTCCATATTGGTATCTACTGTTTAATATGCAAACATGTTCTTATTAAACATAAAGACTTTTTTGAGTCCATTATTTGTTGGTCAACTACTCCTGAACATGAAACATGCCCCGGAGTAGTTGATATGCCCAGTGTCATTCCATCACAGAAAACTGATATTCCTTCTCCCAGCAGGTATAAATGACAGTTCCATTTTAAGCCTTTATCCTGGCGGCTAGATTTGCATTCATTTAATCATTTATTTTTTTAAAATAATGGAATAAAATATAATAAGGTAAAACAAAGACTGTCACATTGAATTTGGACAAGACAAGCCAACAGAAGGAAAAGAGCCCAAGAGAAGGCACGGGAGTCAGAGACCCACTCATTTGAACACTCAGGAATCCCACAAAAATCACCAAACTGAAAGCCATAAAATAAATGTGGAGGACCTTGTGCAGACCTCTATAAGCCCTATGCACGCTGCTTCTATCTTTGCAAGTCCTTGTGAGCTTTGCTCATTTTGATTTAGAGGACCTTGTTTTCTTGGTGTCCTCCATCCCCTCTGGCTCTTAACATTCCCCTTCCTCTTCTGCTGGGTTCCCTGAGCTCTGAGGGGAAGGATTTGGTGGAGACATCCCTTTTTGGGCTGAATATTCCAAGGTCTCTCATTGTCTGTGTAATGTCTGGCTGTGAGGCTTTATATGTGTTCTCATCTGCTGCAGGGGGGAGCTTCTCTGATGATGGTTGAACAAGGAACTATGATTATAGTAGAATATCATTAGGAATCATTTTATCACAACATTTCTTCTTTTTACTTTTTTTTAGATTAGTATTATTTGGTTTTGTCTTAGGTCCCTGGGCTATCTAGTCGCAGGTTCTTGGTCATTCAAGCAGTGTTGAGTATGGGTTCCATCTTGCGGAGCGGGCCTTAAGTCATATCAGTTATTGGTAGTTTACTCCCACAAGCAGTGTGCCACCATTGTCGTGTTTATGTTTCTCTTTTGATAGCATGCAGAGTACCTTCCTGTAAAAAGACGCTGGAACACGGGGATGAAGGCTCTGTGTAGGCACCAGCTCAACATCTCCACGTTCAGTGAGTTGTGTGGGTGTTGTCTTCGTTAATGGAGCCTTGCTGTCAGTCTGTGGAGATCAACCTATAGCATTGGCAATGGCCTGGGTTGTTTGGGGAATTCCATGGGACCTCTCTGGCCAACAGCTCAAGTAGGTATAACTCAATCCCCATTCTGGAAGCTTCTTTGGGTGACAAGAGATGGCTCGTTGGGACTCTGACTCCCCCATTATTTGGTGATGTCATTTACATTGACTTCATATATGTTTATATTTTGGGAGATTTCTATTCGGTTTCCATACTACCCCTTAAATGCCCCTTAATCTTAGCCATCTCTCTCCATATTTCCTCCGACCACTCCGTCCCCACTCCCTCTCCCTATTAAACATAAAGTACTCTTAGTAAGTGGCAGAAAAGTTGCTACAATTTATGGAGGCTATATTTATAAATTAAAATATTGTTATGTATGGATAATTTACAGTTATACAATTTTAAAATCAGTATCATGTCTCATAAATATAAATTTTCAGACAAATGCTACTGAATATTTATCTTCTTCCTATACAAATAGAGTCTTACTAAATTCTTCTTTAATATTTAATACTCAGATCTTGAAATTTTGAGCATTTTTTTCTCAAAAGTCGTCTGACGTTTAAAGCTATGTGAATAACTTTATTCTTTTATATCTTATTTGAGGTATTTTAGTTAGAACAGATATACTAAATCTTAGGTACAGTAAGTATGTGTATTAAAAAACAACAGATAGCTGGGCGGTGGTGGCACATGCCTTTAATCCGAGCACTTGGGAGGTAGAGGCAGGCGGATCTCTGTGAGTTCAAGGCCAGCCTGGGCTACAGAGCTAGTTCCAGGACAGGCTCCAAAGCTACACAGAGAAACCCTGTCTCGAAAAACCAAAAAAAAAAAAAAAACCCAAAAAACAAAAAACAAAAAACAGATATAACCACCATCCATCCACCCATCCATCCATCCATCCATCCATCCATCCATCCAGCCAGCCAGCCATCCAGCCATCCAGCCATCCAGCCATCCAGCCATCCAGCCAGCCATTTCTCCATCTATCTAACCAAACAAACCAATAAACCAAAGTATAAACACCTTTATCAGTTCAGTAAAAATTCACTGGAAATCTCAGTTTTAAGTATGAACTTATATGAAAGCATGAAATGAAATGCTTGTTTTGTTTTTTGCTTATAGATTACATTTTAAACTTATTTACTGTGTGTGTCTGTATACATTCTCTCTCTCTCTCTCTCTCTCTCTCTCTCTCTCTCTCTCTCTGCCACACATAGAGAGGTCAAAGGACAACTCTTTGAAGTCATTTCTCTCTTTCCCCCTATGGACCTTGAGGATGTAACTCAGGTCCCTGAGTACTGGCAGCAGGCACTTTACCTACTGAGCATCTCACTAGCACAGATTTTTGCTTTTATATCTCAGTAAGGTATTTTAATTTTTATGAAAAAAACTTAAATAATAAAATTGGAAAATTTAACTTATGTGATAAGCCACCACCCTTCAGGGATTAGAGTGTTATCAACTTATGGACAGTCTCTTTTTGAAATTGTGCTATATTGTAGAAGCTGTTTTATCAATGAAGAAATCTATTGATGTTTAAGAAACTCTAATTTACTAATAAAACACTAAATAGAATTTATATCACAGTATCTTCTCTACCGAGTTTCCCAAGAGAGTCAGTGTGTGTGTCTAATTGAAAGCTTTTCCCAGCCTCAGCATTATTTCAGATGATGTGCAATATCACCAAGCCCACAAAACTGGGATTTGACTTTCACTGTGTAAGTTAAAAAAAAAAAGTTAAAAAGATGATTGAGGACTGGGGAGATGTCTCAGTCAGTAAAAGTGCTCGCCACACACACAAGCATGAGGACCTGAGTTTGATCCTCAGGACCCACATAAAAAGCCAGGTATGATGGCACTAGGGAGGCAGAGACAGGTGAATTCTTGGAGTTCATTCACTATCCAACCTTCTTGGTTAATCAAAAAAAAGGTAGATGGCTCATGAAGGACATTTGAGATTTGCCTCTGGCTTCCACAAACACACATACATGATGTATTTCCTCACATATACCTATGTGCGAGCATGTGTGCATGCACACACACATGCGCACAAACACATGGGCACACACGCATGCACATGCACGCACACACAATTTGTTTTAAAAAATTGATTGATAGTCATCTAGGAACCTAAGTAAAATTGAAAAGCTCTACCTGCCATGTCATTAGCAAAGTTTGCTTTTAAACACTTGCTTTTGGTGGATATGACAAAGAATTTTGTAAAAAGAAAATAAAAAGGTCTAGAGTATTTTGACATAGGCCCATGATCTCAAGACTTGGGAGGTGAGGCAGGTTAGTGAGTTCAAGGCCAACGTGGACCACAGAGGGAGGAGAGCCAGTAAAAAAGGAGAGGGGAAGAGAAGAGCTTGGGAAGTCCTAGGAAGAGAAGAGCTTAGATGTGCAGTTAGGTCTGAAGAGTTAGGCCAGTTAGGTCAGGAAAGTGCTCTTTCATGCAGTGAAGGGTCTGTTTATCTTACACCAGCTCAAAAGCAAATCTTGTTGACTACAATTTAATAAATGGATCCATTTGTGTGTTTGGTTACTTCAGGACAGATATTCTCAGGTTACGTTAGGTGACTGCAATGTATTGTCATGACCAAACAAAGGGAAAAGGGAGCCAGGAAACTCTGAGGCAGCCTGCAGTTCAGGATCATCAATGCTGGGGACTGCGGTGATTGGAGTCATCCATCTTGCTGGTGACTCAGAGCCTGTTTTTTGGCTTCCTTGTATTATATCTTCTATACCACCATCAATTACTTCTTTCTAATCTCCAATTTCTGTAGTTAGAAGATTTCCTGTGTCCCAACCTACTGGCAGTTGGGACAAATCTCTCCTGATCATGTCCCCCAAGTAAACACACAGAAGCTTATATTAATTAAAACTGCATGGCCATGTCTCAAGCTTTTTGCTAGCTAGCTCTTATATCTTAAATTAGCCCATAACTATTAATCTATGTATTGTCACATGTTCCATGGCTTTACCTGCGTCCCATTACATGTTGCTCCTTGGGCGGCTTGCTGGCATCTCCTCTCCTTCTTCCTGTCTCTCTCTTTGAATTTCCTGCCTGCCTCTAAGAAACCTTGCCATAGGCCAAAAGGCTTTATTTATCAACCAATCAGAGCAGCACATATTCACAGCATACAGAAAGACTTCCCCCATCAAATTTATGCCTAGCAGTTTCAGATATTGTGTTTTAATTTAAAAATAGAAATGAATAGTAGCTTGAGGCTTACTGTATGCTAAGCATATTCTCATTTTGAACCTCATGATAACCTTTTGAGCAAGGTGTGAGATGTTTTTCTCATAGGATCATTCACCATCCTTGTCCTTAAATTAGTGCACAAGGACCCACAATCAGCACACTAGGAAAATAGTAATAAAGTGAATGCCAATAGATTTCCCACTCAAAACCCCTCCCAACTAGATATTGATGTATCAGTTACATTTGTATCATTGTGACAAATGGAGAGATTTAGCTTAGCTCACGGTATCAGAGGGTTTACTCCATGGCTACATGGCCCCATCCATCATGGAGATAGGAACATGGCAGATAGGAAACAGTAGGGAAAGAAGAGGGGGCCAGAGATAAGCTAGACTGAAGAACTACGGCCTACTTCCTCCAGTTAGGTCCAGGACCTGTCACATAGCACTGCCAGCTTAACACCTAGCCAAGTAGACTTTCACATTCAAGCCATAACATTCTGTCTCTAGTTCCCAAAGGTCATGGGCGTCTCATATCAGCATTTACCTATTTCTAATAAGAAGTTCCAGCTCTCAATAATCTAACATTGTTAGGAGTCAGAGTTCAAAATCTTCGCTGAGTCCCAAGACAAACTCTTAGTTTGTGACCTGATTGATTATAAAATAAACATATTTCTAGGCTCTCAAGGATTAGTAAACATTCCCATTCCAAAATGGAAAAACAGAAGAGTAGCAAAGAAGATTTGGGGCAAACTAAAGTTAAAACCCAATAGAGAATCATTAAATCCTTTATATCTGTCATCCAGGACACATGGTGGTCTAACATGGGCTCCAACAGGGGAGGGCAACCCTAGCCATGTCATTGTCAGCCTACATGGTCTCTCCCTTAGGCTGACTTAAGTCATTGTCTGTGGCCTTCTTCAGCAAACTACTGTGGGATGTTTTGAATGCTATGAACATGTTACTCTGATTGGTTGATAAATAAAAAGCTGATTGGCCAGTAGCCAGGCAGGAAGTATAAGTGGGATAAACAGACAAAGAGAATTCTGGGAAAAGGAAAGCTGAGTTAGTTGATGCCAACCCACCATTCAGGAAGCAGCATTTAGTGACACAGGTAAAGCCATAGAACATGTGGCGACATACAGATGAACAGAAATGGGCTGAGTTTAAGTGTAAGAGCTAGTCAGTAGTTATCCTGAGCTAATGGCCAAGCAGTTTTAATTAACATAAGCCTCTGTGTGTTTTCTTGGGTCTGAGTGGCTGTGGACCAGGTGGGACACAGGAAAACTTCAGCTATAAATGGTGCCAAAATGTAGGACCTAAAACCTGAGAAAGCTTTAAAAAGAAAGATTCTAAAACAGAGCTAAAAACAGCTTCCTAGTTGTGTCTCTGAGGCCAGCCATGAGCTACAGTATGGTGGGTTCGCAGTGGCGTGTGGGCCTGAGTGCAGCATGGTGGATTTCCACCATGGTACACAGTGGCGTCTCCAAGCCACACAGTGCACTGCATCGTGACAGATTTAGCTTTTGCTAGAAAAAGAAAAAGGGAAAGAAATAAAAGTTTTTTGGGCTACATGCTCCTGGATGGAAGCATAGACCCACTGCTTCTCAGAGTTGGCAGTGGGTATGGTTCCCACAGCTGGTGGTAAATGTAGTACCACCATGCTGGAAAGCTGAGATGGGTGGAGCCAGCAGCCAAAGCTGCCATTTCAGTCCTAGTCATGCTGCAGTTTAAAGCAATAGATTCACAATAAGACAGATTCAGATGGAATAGTTTACAACGTGTGTAAAAATGTAAGTAGGCTTGGAAGAGAGTGAAAAAGGAATATATGCAGTTATATAAAGAAGTAATTTTAAAAAATAAAGTCTTTAAAGAGACAGTGAAGATAATATAAAAAATATCTGTGTGGATATTACACAGAGAATCTGGATTGTGTTGTCTTTGATATTTTTAACTGCAGAAAGACATTTGATTGTAAAGGCTGCTCAGTTAAATCATGGTTTTTTCGAGACAGGGTTTCTCTGTGTAGTTTTGTGCCTCTCCTGGAACTCGCTTTATAGACCAGAATGGCCTTGAACTCACAGAGATCCGCCTGCCTCTGCCTCCTGAGTGCTGGGATTAAAGGTGTGTGCCACCACCGCACGGCTGTATATTTTAAAGATATTTTGATTTCAAAATTTATGTCTAAGGATATGTTGCTTTGGAAAAGAGGTTCTACTTTTGTTTCCACAGAAGATGAGAACCTGTGGATTGCTTCCAGGCTAATATGGTTTGACCAGCCAAGACCCCCTGAAAAGTTTCTGATGACACCATGGCCCAGATGATCCAACATCCAGAATGGTTTCAAGGCAACTGGCTCAGACAATGCAGCCTCATAGACTATTCCAGTCAGGACTTGACCATAATCCTAAAATTTTCTTTGTATCCCCATAGAAATACAGCACCCTTTATCAGCAGGAAGTAGCCTAGAAAGCTATACCCACATTCCCAAAAAATGGATTATGAATGTTTATCTTTGTTTAGGTTGTTGGTTACAAATTGTTATTGGTCACAGTCAATCTCTTTCTAGAAGAAGAAAGAGAGATATGATATAGAAATATAGGATAAATATTTTACATTGCTATAGATTTTAGTTTATTGATAAAAATTTAAAGTTATTTTGTTATACTTTATATATTTCTACTCTCGTTTAAGGTATTATGTTTATGTAACTCATTTAAATTGTAATGATAATTAAGAAATATAGATTAATTATTAGTCTTCTATGATAGTCAAACTTATAATCATGTTAAGTTTTCTAGGTATACATAGATATAATTCAATTAGGTAGATAATCTTCAAACACTTCAAAGACCTACAGAATATGGCATTTAAAGTGTTTTAAAAACTTAGACTTTCTGGACAATGAGACACATCTGTTCTTGGCAGCACCGATTTACTTCAAAGAGAAAGATGGGCGTTGAAGATACTCCATATGGAGTTTACCTTCTTCTTGGGAAAAATAGTCATTTGGGCAAGAAACTGTTCTTGCCTGGACTGCTTGACAAAATATTGTATCGGCTGGACATGCAGAACCCATAGGAAGGTGACCACTGAACTTTGCAAAGCAAAATGGTCCTTCAGGTTCCTGCTTCACAGAAGAAACTGCCAGATATTCTACAGGACACAGAGAAGAGATTGAGAAATTCTAGGCTGAAGATGGATGCCCCAAAGTTACAGAGGAACTTTGAATGACTGTATAGGCAGCCAACTGTCTCTGTCATTCTAGATTTTTGGAAGTTGCTTATAATGCATTTTCTGTTTACTTAGTTAATATTATATCCTTCTGGGGTCTTTCATGTAGTTGAAGACTAGATAATTATAATTATAATTTTTCTTGGTTATGATAAAAAATAAATTAGATATGAAACTTTAGACTCACAAATATAGGATAGATAGAATATTTTCTTTTATTTTGCCAAATACAAATAAACTAGATATTGTAACTGTAATTCTTGCTTGATAACTGTTCTATTATATGTAATTTTATCATGTTAAAGTTAAAACCTACCTTTTTGATTAGACAGAAAAGGAGAAGTGCTGTGGAATGTCTTTCTATACGCTGCGAATATATGTTACTCTGATTGGTTGATAAATAAAAAGCTGATTGGCCAGTAGCCAGGCAGGAAGTATAAGTGGAATAAACAGACAAAGAGAATTCTGGGAAGAGGAAGGCTGAGTCAGGATACACCAGCCCACCGTTCAGGGAGCAGCATGTAATAGCACACAGGTAAAGCCATGGAACATGTGGCGATATATAGATGAACAGAAATGGGCTGAGTTTAAGTGTAAGAGCTAGTCAGTAGTTAGCCTGAGCTAATGGCTGAACAGTTTTAATTAATATAAGCCTCTGTGTGTTTTCTTAGGTGGTTGCAGACCGGGCGGGACACAGGAAAACTTCAGCTACAGCAAATGTTCCATATTCTTGGTATTTCTAAAATATTGGAGTCTCTGCTACAGCTTCACCTTTGCAGCTTCATGTGTTGTTGTATTAGGGGACACCTGCAGAGACCTATGACCTGAGACCCTGCTACATATGATGTGGTCTCTTAGGTGTCCGTGCAACTCTTGGATTCTGTATCACATGAATGACACCAAGGTCTTCTGCTTTCTTGTGAATATAGGGGACCCTTTTGACAGTGGCTGCAATAGCCTCTGAGGGCCTGAGCAGCTGAATACAGGGACGCATTTCCTAGATAATCCCATGTGAGCACGGCACCCCACAGTGCTCCTTACTCAAAGGAAAGACTTTCCTAATGAATTTATAATTTCATGTCATAGAACTCTCAGTGGAAGGGGCCTTGTTGTAGAATATTAGTTGAAGATGTGTGACATTTGTTTATGCTGTGGAGTATTGGTTTAATGGTGCAAAGATGTGTCACCTTCTTTTATGTTGCATTTGCTTAACTCTGTGAAGCTATGTTGCTTTGCATATCTAAAACTCCTGATTGTTCTAATAAAGAGTTGAATGGCAAATAGTGAGGTGGGAGAAAGGATAGGCGGTCTGGCAGGCAGAGAGAATAAATAGGAGGAGAAATCTGGGAGGAGAGGATTGGGGAGTGAGAAAAGAAGGAGAGGAAGACATCAAGGGCCAGCCAGCTATGGAATAAGAAGGAAAGAAAAGATATACAGAAATAGAGAAAGGTAAAAGCCCAGAGGCAAAAGGTAGACAGGATAATTTAAGTTAAGAAAAGCTGGTTAGAAATAAGCCAAGCTAAGGCTGAGCATTCAAAAGTATGAAAAGCCTCTGTGTGCCTCCAAAAGCCCGAAGAGTAAAGAGTTAAAAAAAAAACAAAACCAAAAACTACAAGGTCTGGCAAATTCATGAGATGTCCTTAAGGAATCTTCCCGTTATCTCTGCAAAGTGCTTGACATCATTTACCTGTGAAGACTCTTTAACCACCATACCCCCCTGCTCTACAACTGGAACCTTTTCTGTCTGACACCTTTTTTTCTGGCCAGACTACAGGTTCTAAATCCTTCAGCTCTACTCTTTGCTTTAAAATTTCAGTGTAAACCCAGCTAAAAGCAGCCAGAAATATCCATAGTATATATGCAAGGCCTATTAATTTGGCTTTACCAAAATTACCGACAATGCAATCTCCTTGCAGTAATGGAATCTGAATGACCTGTAGCCTACCAGTCAAGCCTTCTTTTCCATTTGAAGCCTTCCTCTTGTCAGTACTCTGGTCTTCTGACTACCCATGAATTGCCTCATTAAGTTGAGCTTACATTACTCTAGGCTTTCCCTAGCCTACTTCTTCACACTTTCCCAGATTCCTTCTCCAAGCCAGGTCCAAATGCTTAAGAACTACATAGTGAAGTTGAGTCAGAGCAACACTTCTACTCTGGGTACCATTTTCTATGTTGTTGTTGGATCACTGTGATGCCATATATGACATAAAGGGAGGAGGAGGTTCAGTCTGTGGATGCTTGGCCCCATTTGCTTGAATAGAACATCATGGCAAGGGATGGGGAGGAGAGGGAGGGAGAACGTGGAGATGGAGGAAGGAACAAGGTATTTGTTCCAGTGACCCATTTACTATGGCTCTAGAACTTCTTGAGGTTGAGGACATAAGTCTTTAATGTGTGAGCCTTAGGGTGACATTTTGTATTCCAACCATAACCATTAGTTTTGATAATTAACCACTATTCATATTATGCAAAGCACAATAGCAACAGTTGCAAAAGATGTGGAATTTCATGAAGTGGAAATCAATTTTAATAATGAATGCTTCTTATGCTATTTTTTAATTGTACAAAGACCAGAATAGCGTACTTACTTGCTTTCAGGTTTTATAGTTGATGAGAACATAGGAATTAGAAAGTAGACATATGATGTCACATACACTCATGTTTGCTTGTTTATTTTTAGATATGTTTTCATAGTCCATGTTGGTCTTGAGCTCTCTGTGTAGCCTAGCCTGGTCTCTAACCTGTGCTCCTCCTATGAACCTGTGGATGTCGGGATTACAGAGGGATGCCGTCACAGCCAACTCCCATTATTTTTACATACTACGTCTGATTGTCCCTGTGCCTCATTGTTGTGACACTTTTCTTGGGGAAACATGAACAAATGTGTATTCACTACAGGTAGGGCACTGACAAAAGACCAAATGAGTGATTCAAATGCATGGTAGCTTAATAAACTAATGGATTTATTGGGGGGTTGCTTGCAGGGCCATAGACAAATCCCATGCATTTGTACCACTGAAAAGCCCACCCCACATGGACGACAACTAGCAAAGCATCCCTGGAGTTGTTTTGCTGTGGATGATTGATTGATAAATATAGTGCTGATTGGCCAGTAGCCAGGCAGGAGGTATAGGTGGGACAAGGAGAGAGGAGAATTCTGGGAAGTGGAAGGCTGAGGCAGAGAGATGCTGCCAGTCACCACCATGAGAAGCATGATGTAAGATTCTGGTAAGCCACGAGCCATGTGGCAAGGTATAGATTTATAGAAATGGGTTAATTTAAAATATTAGAACTAGATAGCAAGAAGCCTGCCATGGCCATACAGTTTATAAGTAATTTATAAACTCTGTGTGTTTACTTGGGTCCCAGCGGCTGCAGGACTGGCAGGTGAGAGAGATTTGTCCTGACTGTGGGCCAGGCAGGACCAGGAAAACTTCAACTACATTGTTTAATTTTTTTTCTAAAATGCATTTAAGTTTTTTACTTTTTGAAGTATTAGTTATTAATAAGTATTAATTTGAAGATTTAGTTATTATTTGTATTTTATGTGTTTGAATGTTCTGCCTGCATGTATGTATGTGTGCTGTTTGTTTGCCTGGTACCCACATAAGAAGGCACTGGATCTCCTGGAACTGGAGTTAGGTAAGGTTGTAAGCTGCCATGTGGATGCTGGTAATCGAACCTAGGTCCTTTGTAGGAACAGTAGGTGCCCCTACTGGCTGAGCCATGGGTCCAGCTGGAATCCTCGGGCTTCTTGCACTAACTGAAGTCAGCTCTGTAGGAGCATCTCCTCTCCCATGCAGTTGTTGACTGTGTCACAGGGGACTTGTGCGTTTTGCAACCTTCTGAGCTTGTTCCTAACCTTGTAAGTTTCCTTGGGACTTTGAATCTTATGAGGCTCCATCCCCCTCCAGGAGGAACATCTATTAAATTTCCTTATTTTATCTCAAATAAAGATTTACAGAAATGATTATTTTAGACTGGCCCATCACCATCAGGTTTAGAAGACCCCTGTTGCACAGAACTCTATTTCCAAAACATTCTTATGTCATAGAGTTGGGCACAAATCACTGGTCCAATCGGTTTCTATCAGCTTGATGGTTAGGTTATAGAATGCATGGCAAGTTACTTTCAATAACTGTCTTTACTTCCCCCTCCCTTTTTTGAAAAATACTTTGAATTTGGCATACAGTTTCTATTTCTTAAAAAGTGGAAGAAATTGGGCCGGATGGTAGTGATGCATTAATCCCAGCACTAACAAGGCAGAGGCAGGCGGATCTCTGTGATTTCAAGTATAGCCTGGTCTACAGACCTAGTTCCAGGACAGCCAGGGCTATATAGGGAAACCCTGTCTTGAAAAACAAAACAAAGCAAAACAAAACAAAAAAAGTGGAAGAAATGATGTGACGTCTCCTGTAGGCCCATCTTTTTCTATTCAGACATGTAACCTAAGTAAATCAAAGATGCAGCTGTAGCTTCCTCTGTATCAGAAGGAGACACACACACACACACACACACACACACACACACACACACACACACACACACCCAATGTCTTTCTCTATTCCCTGTTCTGCACAATTTCTTCATTACTCTCATGGATCATATTAGTTTTGCTATTCTGTTCTTCTGAAATGTATTTGGAAATCTTTGATGTATGTCCACTATTATATAACTGAGTGTAGGAATCTGCATGGTCCAGATTTTAGCCTACATTTCTTTACTGTATGGTCAGAAAGCTGTATGAGGCAGGAAGGGGAAATGGCATGACTCTGTTTAAAGGATGAGGATGACGAGGTTGGCCTAGCATCTGAGACAGTAGTCTATCACTGAGTTGATTGTTTTCGACTCTTTTCCATGCTTTCCACACTCTCTCTAATAAAGAGAATGAGGCAGGGATGAAGAGAAGAGAAATTTCTAACAGTCAACCAGTATCATCTGGGTGCTTAATAGCCGATCTTTTTTAAATAAAAAAAAAATGTTACTAGATGTGTATGTATGCATGGTGTGAGTGTGTGTGTGTGTGTGTGTGTGTGTGTGTGTGTGTGTGTGTACACCCTCCTACCACAGCACAAGTGTGGCAGCAAGAAACAACTTTGTGGGGAAGGTTCTTTCCTTCCCCCTTTATGTGTGTTCTGGGGATTGAATTCAAAGTGCCCGGCTGCTACAGGAGACACCTTTACCACAGAGCCATCTTTCTGGTCCATAAGGTTTCAAAGTTTAATTGTTTTGCATATTGTGATTACAAAACAGTGTTTTAAGTTCATTTCCTCTATGTTAAAAAGATTCATATGTCTACTTTATATTTGAAGAAATTACAGAAAAACAATGAAGTTGTATTAGGAAAGTCAATTGGCTAATGAAATAGTAGGGTAGTTGATGAAATATTTAGCAAAAAAGAATTACTCCCCTTACTCAGAGCAGATTTTAAAATTTACTCATTTCCCCCCCATACTTTTAAAGCAATGTTTTTATTATTTCTTACCTAAATTGATTAATTATAATTAGTCCTATAAATGAATGTAAGTTTTTTTTAAAGTTTTATTTATCTATTTTTAATTGTCTTGGCCAGTATGGTTTTGAAATTTTTTTCTTTAGGAAAATAATGTTTACTTCTAAACATTTACTTAGAAAAGAATTAAACACAAAATACAGCAAGAACTCCATTCAAAAAAGACTTAGCCTTAAGGCACTTGACATGTTTTATTTGTAATCACCTTTTAGGGTTAAAGTTTTTTTTTTTTGTTACGAGTGTGTGTGCGTGTGCGTGTGTGTGTGTGTGTGTGTGCGCGTGTGCGCTCGCGTGCTCGCGTTTGGTGGAGAAAGAATGATCAAAAATTTTGAGTCCTTATGTTTCTGATGGATTTATTCTTTATTCTTTTATTATTATTATTAATATTATTATTTTTAACTGTGTGCCCTCAGGAATGTGATGCAGCACAAAGATTGGCTGTGGGCAATAAGGATAATATAGTTTGTTGTGTGATACGAAATAGAAAAGTCCCAAAGTGTAAACTGATTTTATCCTATGACCCATTTCATGTTTCAGCAAAACGTATTGGCTGGGAAATTTAGCTTATGAACCACTTTTAGCAAGCTTCTGAAATAAGTAAGGCTTTTTTTAGACGCGTCCTTGCTGTGAGTGCTTATGGGAATGACGTCTTGGCTCTTTGAACCTTCCTGAATTTCCTGACTGTTGTTTGAGGACACACTAAGAAAAGATTAAAAATGAAGAAACAAATCTTTCAAGGCACTTGTGTTTAATTTTAAGGTATAATAAAAATGTGTCTTGGGCATTTGAACATTTTGTCCCCAATTGGTGGCTGTTTGGGGAGGTTGAGATGGTGTAGCCTTGCTAAAGGAAGTACGTCACTGGGGGCGGGCTTTGGGATGAAAAGCCTCTTGCTACTGGTAGTTTGCTGTTCTCTGCGTTATGCTTATGGTTCAAGATGTGAGTTCTCGGCTTCCTATTCTTGTTGCCACACCTTTCCACCATGGACTCCTGTTCCTCTGGAACCATGAGCTCCCCAAAAACCTTTCTTTTGTGAGTTGCTTTGGTCACCATATTTTAATCACAGCAATAGAAAACTAATTAATATACCTCACATA